AGCACTCTCCTAGCGGAGTTACAATTACGAAGTCGCTTGAATGGGGAGCCTGTTGTTCACTGGCTACTAGAACGACCCAGCAACTAAGTAACCGAATGGCGTATACCCGCTTTACCAGTCAGTATTAAGAATCTTTTTGGCTCTTTGACAGCGAAAACTGCTCCGGTTATTCTTATCAATGAGACTTCTATCGTGCTCGACTGCGAAAACTGTTCTGCTTGCAGACGGGGTTCGCAGACGGGTTTCGCTCGCCCTTTTATACTCGCAAGTTCGCCGAATTCCTGGAATTTCTGTGACGTCAGAATATCTAAATTTTCATATAAATTCGTTATTATACATTAATTATAAAATCGAACGATTTAATTCCGGGCTGCTTCAGCAGCTTTTTGGCCGCGATGGACAGCGAAGAAGAGAAGGTGTCGAAAGTGCTGCTTTTTACCTCTTGGATATTTCATTTCTGAGCCCCAATAGTAATAACCAATGAATCTACTGAAAAAAAACGATTAACACAGTTTTGTAGAGCAGAAAAAGCTCTATCGAAAGAATACTATAACCTCTTGCAAATTGCAAAATGTCGCTGTAAGAAAAAGAAAATGTCAAAACGCTACGAACTTATTTCTCAACCTAATATATTCCTGAAGAATATGTGTCATTAGACGAATCTCTCATGAAATATACCGGTCGCATGTCATAAATAGTTCAATCCACCAAAGAGGATACGTTTTGGAGTAAAGTTTTACAAGTTGTGCGAGTCTAAATCAGGATATTGTATGAAATTTAAAATATATACAGACCAAGATAAAGTGGAAAATTCAATCACCACTGCTTCCGAAAATGTTACCATATTTATGCGCACACCAATAGCTAATTTCGGACACACCTTATTTGTGGATAACTGGTATTCTTTGCCAAACTTGTTTCAAAAATTGCAATCCATGCAAATCAATGCCATAGGCACAATAAGATGGAATAGAAAGAATATGCCAAAAGAGCTCGCAACGATAAAGCTGAAAAATCAGAAACTATTTCGAGATCGTGCAAAAGTATTTTAGCTGCAAAGTGGAAGAACGAAAATGACGGTTTATAGATGTTTAGGTGTAGGCAGTTAAGCCTACCCTAAAGTCTGTAAGTCGGCGAAATTATTTTATGTTTTTTGGACGTGCGTAGCTCAATAGACTACCCTACCATAAACGCTGCCAGCCATGTCCCGTTACGGTTCATTAGGCCACATGGTCAGCACGGGCCGGAGGAAACTTTCGGTTAACAAATTGTGATTTATAATACTTTTTCCCCCGCCGAAAATGGGAGGTTTCAGCGAGGAAAATAACTCCAACCTCTACTGGGTAAGGAGTTACGCCTTCTTCAAAAAGCTAATATATACTGCGGAAAGGCGTCAAGAAAAAGATTGTTAGTCGAGCCTCCGTTTCTGTAACATCGCATATTTCACAGTACTTATTAAAACCTCTTCTCTTGCAAACATTCTGTTGCGAGCACTTATTCATTTACCTCACTTACCTCGCGACAATAAAAAAATTGAAATGTTGGAAGTGGAGAAGAAGAGTTGGAAATATAATATCACTGTTACAAAGCCAAATATCGTGTTGGAATATAATGATGGCATGGGTGGGGTAGATCACCAAGATAGCTACTTATCTTCTTTCTCAATTATAAGAAAGTACATCAAAAGTTATAAAAAAATATTTTTTTACCTAATGGATACTGCACTTTTTAATGTTTATGTTTTATTTTCGAAAACATCGAATATACCAAAAAGTAAAAAATACACATTTTCAAAATTTCGATTAGATGTGGCAGAACAGATTTTAGAAAGTGTATGTATACCTGAATACACAGAGCATGGAAGACTGTCTGCTGATGATATACCACTTCGATTACAATCAAAACAATGGGGCCACTTTCCAAGGAATATTCCACCCACAGACGCTAAAAAAAATCCTCAAAGACGGTGTAAAGTCTGCGCCAAACATAAAAAACGCAGCGAGACTACTTGCGAGTGCAAGAAATGCCTTGTGGCATTACATATTCCCAAGTGTTTTGAAATTTACCATGCAAAAGTAGATTATTAATTAATAAAATGTTATTATTGTTGTGAATATTTATTCTTATCCGCGTAAAATTCTTTATGTAAGACCCTACCAACGCGCTAAGGCTCTGCTAAAAGCTTTACGCTCGCAGACGCGGCGCGGCGTCAATGTAACGCCTTACCGCATGTTATATCGTATACTAAGTTTCCACCGAGGATGGACCGAGTTTCCACCGAGGGTTCAAATCGGGTTAGAGTCGGGTTGAGGTGAGCGCTCTTACGGTGGAAACACCACAGTTTTAGTTGAACTCGAAGAGGGGGGCATATGTAACCGTGCTGGTTACATAATATAAGAACACCTTACATATCAGTGTTATATATGTATTGTCGCGGTATGGGGTATCCCTACTCCGAGCACACGTCGTGATCATTATTTCATGGGGTTACCGGTAGAATATTTACCCCACTTTCACTAATTATGCGTGCGCATCGATCCCCACTTGATAACGATCGAAGGAGGTCGATGCGAGGATCAAATTCGACACTCTACATCTGGAAGCGAATCGAGTCGGTTCAAGAAATATCTATTCTGCGAAACACGGTACGCGATTGCGAGGTCAAACCGACCTGATAGATTCGTCAAGCCGACAATTTATCCGCGACGCGTAAACGCCTCAAACCGAGGAGTCGATCGTTCAAGCCGAACGGTGGCACAGTCAGAGTAAGATTTCGGAACGATTATTCGATCGTAAACAGCGTAGTAGTCAGAACATAAATATTAATTTGTATTAAAGCGAATAACCGAATAGGTAATTTCTAAATTCATTGGGTCAAGAGGTGGTAAGTAAAGGTTGATTGGTAGTCAATTCTCTTTAATAGCTTTCGACGATATTCCCACAGTTGTGAATAGCGACTAAGATCATTTAAATTGTACATTTTGGCGTGGTACAGCTCTCAGGCTCATACAGGCAATTGAAGTGTCGCTCGGCCCACGTAAAGTGTCCCGCCGTATCTTCTAATTGTACCTGTGTGCCCTTGCGAGAGGTAGTCTCGCTGGTGTAGAATTGTATGATTTCTGCCATGCTTGATCGGGGCACCGCTCACAGACTCGTTTGAGTAACCAGAGTATCGCCCAGCTCGCGGAAGTGCCCTGCCGCTACTCCTTGGTTGTTCTCAAATGCCTTTGTGAAAAGGTGGACACGACCGCATAGCACAGCTTTCACTCTATTTGGAGGTGAATTTATTCGAATAGGGTTCATATTCAAATTGGGTAACCGAAGTGTTGCCCAGCCCACATATTGTGCCTGTCGACATCTTCTGGTTGTTCTCAATAAGCGTATGAATCTCATAGTGCAGGCACCGGTTGACTTTTCCCGAGCTGCTCGACAAGGTCAATCTGTGTGTTATTGTACTATTCGCGTCACGAATTACACGATCGGATCAGTACTGTTGGAATCAGGCGTCCGGTATCGGAGCAAGTCTTGAGCCCCAAAAACTCCTATGTGTCTCAACCTGATCTCGACTTCGTGCGAGTCTCCACCGGAACATCTCCTCCGATTTATCGGCCGAATGTAAAAGGTGCTGCGACAATCTTCAATCGTGCTATTCACCGAGGCTTTGACTCCAACAACCAATATATATATATATATATATATATATATATATATATATAGATTTCATGTATAAACAATTGGTATTTCACTTAAAGTATTTACTTTCCGTTTACGCATCGTTGAGCGTCGATTCGTTAAAAATCATTAAATTGAACGAAACAAAAATTGTCTTACAAAATTAGTAAATATACCTTCTTATGCGTGCAATTTAATTTTGCGATAAATGAACAAAACTCTCCTTGTTAGATATTCATGTATGCGTGTTAGTTTTACAGAATATATTGTCTCATGTTCATTTTAAACAAAAAAGGTTTCTAACTTTCTTTAACGACCAGCCAGACCACTCCGCTATCCAGTACCTGGAGGCCCGAACCCTCCATTTAAAGCATTCGTAGATTAAAGTACTTTTATTCTTACTGAGAATCCCAAGCTGGGCTTAAACCAAACAGAATTCATAGAAAATATAACGACATAATTCGTAGAAGCAACGCCCGTCTCCAGGCGTATCTAAATAAGCAAACTCACGTTTACACTCTACCCTATAAAATTATAGGGTAGCGTTCAATTGAGGTTCAGTGGAAACGACAAGAGTCGAGTTCATGTTGCCAACATAACAAATCCAAATTGCATTGTGTATCACGTGTTGTATTAATTGGTGTAAACAAGGTTCTCAGTAGTCCATTACATTTTTACAATGAATTATATTCAAGTAAAAAAGAAGCCAGCCACGTGGAGTATGGAGGAAACGGAATGTTTTTTAAAAATAGTAAAAGATTTACAAGTAACGGCATTAATGGATGGAAAAAAATTCCGTACAGCGGAAATATTTAAAAAAATCGAAGCAACATTCCAAACCGAAGGATACAATAAAACAACATTCAACTTTTAGAAAAATTTACTTTTAGAAAAATTGAAAGCAATGAAAAGTATGTAAATTAAAAGAATCATTGTTCATTTATTTGATCATAACTTGTAATGGCTATGTTAAATAATCAGAATTATGGAAAATAACAAAACTAATAATACACTTTTGAACACGAACAAATTATATAATAAAGAACACAAACAACAAACATTTTAACTTAGAGATTAACCATTTAAACAGGGATTACTTTTTCTTCAAATCAAACATATCACGAACGCTTACATTTTTATAACGACAAGACGGAAGTACAATATTCAATTATTTTGTTTCTAATATTCAATTATTCTGTTACTAACATCGCACATCATTTTTAATACTGTAAGATGTCGTTATATGCTAAATTTATTAATAATTTAACAGGCTACATTATTATGTAGAACTGACGAGTTTTAATTTATCGTTATGATTATAACTTTTGCAACGTATTAGCTATTTTTTACATTTAATAATTTTTGTATCTACAAAACGATTTAAAGCTACAATACGAAGTTTATCTGAAAGTGGTGCTGGAACACAAGATAAAATGAAATGTCATTTTTTTGGAGAACTAAATGAAATATTTGGCCACCGACCAATTATCAATGAGACTGGTATAGATTCTACCTTACTGCCTCCCGATTTAAGTAAGATTTTCAAATATTTAAATTTATGTTTAATTGCAGCACTGTTATAGTAAATTAATATAAATATTTTATACTAACACACTAATATTATAGATACATAATTGATATTATGATAATATATTTTTCAGATGATGAGACTTGTGATGAGGCGTCATTAACTTCCATTTATCTCAAAAGATCATTATCTTCTGATACGCAACATAATCCACCTCCATCATCATCACCAGTATTCAACTCCTTAATCGGATGACAGCAGAAGTACTTCTACACCTCCCTTAAAATCGTAGGAACTAGATAATTCTAACGAACTATGCACTTCTTCTAAAAAATGTAAAATATGTGGTACACCTACATATTTAAGTCGCGAAAATCCACGAGCTAGCTTTAAAAATATTATGCAAAACTTTGTAAACCAAATAACAGAATCTCAAGAAAAACTACTGATGAAAACTATTGAAGAACAGCGCAAACTTGATAAGGAAATGTTCAGTCAATACAATAATATCTTCTTACAGCAAACACAAATGTTACTCACAGGACTGCAAAATTTGAGTTCACCCTCTCCTCAAAATTATGCAACATTTCAGCAATTTTCTGGGGTTACAACTATGCCAGCAGTGAGACCAATGTTCACAGAGAACTTGAATCAGTCATATCCTACACAACCAACATTTTCGCATCAGAATAATATTAATACAGACCATTCCTGTACTTCGCATGAAACGCAAACTCGTTTAAGATCACATCAAGCCAAAACAACGATATCCAGAATTGTGCTTAGAGAAAATGAAGACGTTGAATATTTAGATACTGTTGAAAGGGACTGAAATACTCAGCAGTGCAAGAGAGAGTGCAAAATATAATTGCTGCCAAAGATTAATATTTTTTTTAAATACTTATTTTTATTTTACATTACTTTGATATGATATTTCGTTTTTCTATTTTATATGAATAACTTTCAAAAATATACTCTGTTAGAAAATGAATAATAATTGAGATGTGATATTCTAAAGATATAAAGAATTGTAATAAGATATATTTTAAAATAGATATATTTTATAGATATATATTCATGTTGTGAAATGTTCTTTATTTTATAAGGCTTTTATGTTAAAAAATATTTTTTATTTTATCAGTCTTTCATGCTGTAAGTTATTCTTTTTCTTATAAAAACTATTAGTATTACAATCAGTATTTTGTAAAATAAGTACAATAAATAAAAAAGTCTTTTGCGCACACTTAGTATTGTAATATTTATTCGTTGTGATTATTGCAAGTCAGGTATTACCATTTACTATTGTAGGGGACAAATAGTTCCCGGTGTGGCGCTGGTATCGCGAGCCTAAAGCTTAGGGCTTGTACTCATGCGTCTCGCAGGTTGGTACGACGCCAACGGCAGGAGACGCCATGGAACCCAGTCGTAATAAAGATCTCGTACACAACGGCACGTGTAGTCACTATCCTTTCCCTACACTATTGTAGGGGACAAATAGTTCCCGGTGTGGCGCTGGTATAGCAAGCCTAAAGCTTAGGGCTTGTACTCATGCGTCTCGCAGGTTGGTACGACGCCAACGGCAGGAGACGCCATGGAACCCAGTCGTAATAAAGATCTCGTACACAACGGCACGTGTAGTCACTATCCTTTCCCTACAAGTGGTGACCCCGACGTTCAAGTAAAAATGTCCGTTCCGCGACATCCAAGCGTCGACCAAGGGGCAGGAACTGCGGAGAATAATGCAGTAGCCGTGCACGTGGCGAAATTCTGGCCGGAGCGACCAGCGTTGTGGTTTGCGCAGTTGGACGCGCAATTCGCGTTAAGGAATATAACACAGGATGAAACCAAGTACTGGCACGTAGTAGCGCAATTAGACGCCAAAACTGCTGAGGAGATAGAGGATATTCTATTAAACCCCCCGCCGGACCGGAAATACGAAAAATTAAGGACGGAACTGATAGCAAGACTTTCCACGTCCAAGAAGAGAAGGATTCAAAGGCTCCTCGAACACGAGGAAATGGGGGATAGGACGCCGTCGCAGTTTCTCCGCCATCTTCGAACTTTGGCGGGCTCGGACGTACCGGAGGAGCTGTTGAAGACGCTGTGGGCAAGTAGGCTGCCTACCACTATCCAGTCGGTGTCTCCGCCATCTTCGAACTTTGGCGGGCTCGGACGTACCGGAGGAGCTGCTGAAGACGCTGTGGGCAAGTAGGCTGCCTACCACTATCCAGTCGGTGTTAGCGGCTCAGGATGGTATGGAAATAGAGAAATTAGCAGCCCTGGCCGATAAAATAGGTGAGATCACGCCTCAAACTAGGGCGCCACCAGCCGTAGCGTCCATTTCTGATATGGATCAGTTAGTAAAACAGATAGCAGCCATGGTTACGGCAGAGCTACAGAAACATGAAGGCAGAGGGCGTTCGCGTTCGCGTTCCCGGAGCGGCGACCGTTCTTATCGGCCGAGGTCGAAGGCACGCCTGGACCGTCGTAACGGTTTATGCTATTTCCACTGGAAATTCCGCGAGAGGGCGCACCGTTGCGTACCCCCGTGCGCCTGGATCGGAAAGGCGCCGGAAAACGAAAATCAGGGGCGTTAGTGGCGACGGGCGACCCTAAAGCAGAAATATGTCGCCTTTTCGTGGCGGATTCACGGACAAAAACGCGGTTTCTCGTGGATACGGGCGCCGACGTGAGTGTTTTCCCGCGAAATAGATTGGGCGGCCCCCGTAAGCGTGGTGATTTCGCGTTAATTGCGGCGAATGGGACACCCATCGCGACATATGGGCGTGTAACATTGGAATTAGACATAGGTTTGCGGAGAGACTTCCCTTGGAACTTTGTTGTGGCGGAAGTTACGCGTCCCATATTGGGGGCGGATTTTCTCCGATACTATAAACTATTAGTAGACGTTAATCGCGGCCGTCTTGTGGACAGCGTGACTTTATGTTCGGTTACGGCAGGGCGGTCGCGCGAAGGGCCTAGTGTGCGTATTGTAACAACTTCAGTGGACAGTGAAGTGCGCGCGTTACTGGACAGGTATCCGACCCTGACAGGGCCCCCCGCGTATGGTGGTCCGTTGAAACACTCAACGGTTCATCATATAGTTACGACACCAGGACCACCGGTTACCACCAGGCCAAGGAGACTGACAACGGACAGGCTGACAGCGGCAAAGAAGGAGTTTGAGCATATGCTCCAGCGCGGGATCGCGCGGCCGTCCAACAGCAGCTGGTCGTCCGCTCTTCACCTGGTGGCAAAAAGGGGCAGCGATTGGCGCCCGTGCGGGGACTATAGAGCGTTAAACGCTCGCACGGTGCCGGATCGGTACCCGGTCCCGCATATCGAAGACTTCGCGCAGACTTTACGCGGGTGCGAAGTGTTTTCTACAGTGGACCTGGTGCGCGCATATTATCAAATACCGGTAGCCGCGGAGGACGTGCCGAAAACGGCAATCACGACTCCGTTTGGACTGTTTGAGTTCCCGGTGATGACGTTTGGTTTGAGGAACGCGGCCCAGACCTTTCAGAGGTTTATGGACGAAGTGGTGCGCGGATTAGACTTTGTATATGTGTACATAGACGATATTTTAATAGCATCTAAGGACAAGACTGAGCATCTCAGGCACTTAGATTTGTTATTTAAGAGACTTGCGGATTATAATATTGTAATAAATAGTGCGAAATCCGTATTTAATGTAAATAGCGTTAAGTTTTT